ACCTGTAAATTAATTTAAGGGGGCAAATATTATCCTTAATATATAAGGAGTGACTGCGGTCTAAGTGGAAGAGAGGGGGTATGCAGAAGGATGTGAAATGCCCCAGGGGATATGCTGCTGTAAAAAGTTTGAGAACCACTGTCCTATCTTATCTCTTGGGTTATGATATGGATGTATGTCCAGTGATAATATAGATCTTTAGATCTCACCAAGATTGCAGTCTAAAATGGATGTTATACATCAGCTATTGACTAGCTCAGGGGTCTACAACCTTCAACATCTAAAGAGCCATTTTGGCCCCTTTCCCACCGAATAAATTTCACGTGGAGCCACAAAACCTATTTGATCCCTAAAAGGATGTTACAGGGCAGGGGCAATCATTTCAGAAGGGGGACAGAAATGTTAAATGTAATAATAATAATAATATTTATTTATGTAAAAAAAAAAAAAGGACCGGTTCTTATCTCTTACTTAATTGGCTAAGAAATAAAATACACTGCTGGACAATAACCAATAATTTGTATTCTATAATATTTTGATATATATTTTACTAATGACAATTTCATGATTATGATTGGTTTATAATACTAAAAACACTTTCTATTTGTATCACAGAATAAGGCAGAAAATAAATTTTATAGCTTACAAACCATATATTGTTGCAATCGTTTATTGTCTTCACGTTTTAGGTTTATGCTTGTTGATAGTGGGATGTCTTTGTCCATATTAGGGATTTCCTGGCATGTCAAAAATTATTATTACTTCTCATATGAGTCTGTTTTGGACTTTCTGCGTGAGAGCGCAGCTTTGAGTATGAATGAAACATACACCGCATGAGAGTGTTCAGCGCTCTGTAATGTTCACACCGTTTTGGATACGAATAAAACGTATCCAAAAAGATGTGACTCTCTTGTCTCTTTTAATTTAAATCTAGATTTATTGACACTGGCCCTTAAAAAACCTCTATGTGAACATACTTGCCCGTTTTCTACGGCCACGCTGCAGGGAGCCACCGCAACGGGATGAAAGAGCCTCTAGAGCCATGGGTTGCCGACCCGTGGACTAGCTGATGCTATTGACTATACTTAAGCTATTGACATAAAACTGGCATTAAGAAGATTTTTTTAAAGCTTTATTTCATTTCCAAATCATCCAGACTGCCTGTTTAAGTAGACGAATGAATTTTCTCACATAATTTGGTGTTTAAATGGATGACATGTTCTAAACTCTGTGCTGGTTGTACCTCATGCATGCATATATTTATTTCTCAGGTCTTCTTGATGAGTACCTTCAAAAGTATGGAAGTCTAATTCCTGTACATTCAGATGATGTTGTTGAGGAACTGAAGGGCATCTTCAATGAGGACTTCTCTCAGCCCCACAGGTCTCACACATGCACAACCTCAAATACAAATACAAATATATATGTCTTTGTGCATGCATACATACATCTCTGGAAGGTAGTCAAGGTACTAAAGTTTTTTTATGTGCCCACAGGAAAGTCATGGTGCAACATTTAATTCAGTCCTACCAGAGATCAGCAGGGACTGCCATGGTGAAAGGGTTTCGGGTGAATTACAAGCGTCATGTTCTGACAATGGATGATCTTAGCACCCTCTATGGACAAAATTGGCTCAATGACCAGGTGAGTTTTGAGTTATAAATGCACAGCACTATTTTTCATAATTCTTCTTTTCTCTGTCCTACTTAATGCACACATTGTTCTTTCATCTGATTTCTTAAGGTCATGAACATGTATGGAGACCTTGTGATGGATTCAGTGCCTGAAAAGGTGATTATTTTTAGGTTTTTCTAATTTCTCCTATGTAATTCTCCTATTTTCATATTAGTTAACCTGATCCTAGTTCAACCTTAGTAACAAAAGTTGTGAAATACAAATGTATCCTGCACTGTTCAGTAATCAAAGTATATAAGAAGTGAACATTTTTAAGTAGTAGTAGTTCAGTTTTATCGTTGTTGTTGATTGTCAGGGAAAGTTAATTTTTTATTTAGTTGTGTTTAGTGTTTTGTTATGTCTTCTCCATTTTCAGGTGCACTTTTTTAACAGTTTCTTTTATGACAAGTTGAGGACCAAAGGCTATGATGGAGTGAAACGGTGGACAAAGAATGTAAGAAAACTGTAAACCTCTTATTATTTTATTTGATGTGTACTACTGTTTAAGAGGCATCATTTAATATATTTTAATATATTTTAAAACGAGTGCTGTCAAATGATTAATCGCGATTAATCGCATCCAAAATAAAAGTTTTTGTTTACATAATATATGTGTGTGTGCTGTGTATATTTGTTATGTATATATAAATACACATGTATATATTTAAGAAAAATATGTTACCTTTATATATTAAATATATTTATATTGATATAATTTATATGAATATAAATATATACATGTAAATATTTTCAAAATAATATACTGTATGTGTGTGTCTTCATATATACATAATAAATATACATTGTACACACACATATATTATGTAAACAAAAACTTTTATTTTGGATGCGATTAGTCACGATTAATCGTTTGACAGCACTATTTAAAATGTAACTTGTTGACTTGATTGCAAAGCTGCTTAATATTTTTGTGGAAATTTTATTTTTTTTAGGATTGAGGATTCTTTGATGAATAGAAAGTTCATAAGAACAGCATTTATTTGCAATATATTATAAGTGTCTTTCTTTTACTTTTGATCAATTACTGACCCCATACTTTTGAAGTGTATCATCTTATTATGTGCATAACATAATTATGTATGATCTTATTATGGGCATTACATAATCATGTACTATGTAATGATCAATTTATTTGGGTCCGTTCTTAGTGATAATCCTTAAAGCAAATCAGCAGAACTTTTCTTGATATGCTTTTTTATTTATATAAGTACAAACATGTTTTAGGTGGACATCTTCCAGAAGGATCTGTTGTTGATTCCCATTCATTTAGAAGTGCACTGGTCACTGATCTTGGTTGATATTAAACAGCGCTCCATCACATACTTCGATTCTCAGAGAACCCTTAATCGCCGCTGCCCCAAGGTAAAAGCACTACAAAAATATTGTTTTCTGTACAGTCAAAATCTTCTCCACAAGCGATGAAATTTCTTTGAAATTGTGTGTAATGTCTAAAACATTATAATTAGTAATACATTCTTAACCTTTGTTTTTATGTTTGTAATTTATCTCAGCTAAGTAACATTTTTTCTCTCCACAGCATATTTTTAAATACCTGCAGGCAGAAGCCATGATAAAAGAGAAGAGAGATTTTCTCACAGGGTGGAAAGGCTTTTTTAAAATGGTGAGGCCAGTCATTGCAGTGTTACCATAAATTGCTACTTGACCTTTTTGTAATGTCTAATGCTGTTCAGTTGTTTAAGTGACAATTAATAGAGCCTCTCTTTTTTGTTACAGAATGTTGGCAGACAGAATAATGACAGTGACTGTGGTGCATTTGTCCTGCAGGTTTGTATATGCATCATCTTCATTCTGAAGCTTTATGAGTGGTTGATAAGATTCAGATTAACTGACACAGTATTGTACATTTATAGCTGTTTATCCAGAGGAGAATCCATTAAGCTCTATTAAAAACCACAAGAAATATGTCAGAACATATGTTGTTTGAGATGTCTTTTCCTCAGTTACACATACAAGATTTACCTCTTATTTCTCTTTTTATTTTCTCCACCTCCATTTTAGTATTGCAAGTGTCTCGCATTGGGTCAGCCCTTCAGCTTCAGTCAACAGGACATGCCCAAGCTGAGGAGACTTATGTACAAAGAACTGTGTCATTGCAAGCTGTCACTGTGATATTTGTTTAAAGACCGCACAGCCAAGATACATTTGTCCAAAAAGCCTGAGAGACTTCTCACTGAGGATATTTCATCCTCGCTCACGTTTGTTTTCATTTTGTATAAACTTTTTGTTTGTTTTCATACTGGAACCCAACATCTTGACTGAGAGATCTGCGGTGATTTACTATTGACAGCCTGTCTTGCCCTTGTGACATACTGCCTAAATGGAACAGTCTTTTTTCTGCTTTTTTTCTGTGTATAAAGATGTTGCAAAACTTCTGATCTGAAATGTTGGCATGAGAGTAACTGTGCTGTAATGCAAGTGACAAATCGTGTCTGCAGTTTTGTTCTTAATAAATCGTCTTAAGAAAATAATGATCTGTGTACTCATCAGAACACTTAAATTATTATTTTGTTAGTCACATTGCAATTAATGACGACATGAAATGGCCAGGAATTATTATGTAAGGTTATGGAATCAACATGTCAGTGAGGTATTCTCCAGTTATGCTGTGTTCACCCTTATTCAAACTGGAAATAATACCAGTAAGCTGGTTTTTCCTCAAAGCATATTTATATGGACCATTAAATGACCCACTAAGAACACCAACTGTGAATCATAAATGACTCACTTGCAACATTTATGTACAGGAAAACAGCTCTTGGGCAATAAGGGAAGGGTCATCTCTGTATTTTCTGGAAGTGAGCACATTAGTGTTTGACATATTAACAGGTTTTTTTTTTATTCAAATACTGTTAGCAACAGTTCAAAAGCAAACAAAAAAACTGAGAGGGCAAACGGAAACACAAAATTATGTAAAAGAAATTAAAGACACAAACATTATGAAAGTACCTTTATGGTCTATTAAAATCCGATTATCAAATTGGTTCTCTTATCTTGTTACTTTAGCCAGTAACATTTTTTAAAATGTGAATTATCACCTCAAATTTCAGGGCTGAAAGGTTTTTTTAAAGGTATATTCTTGAAAACCAAACGTCAAATTTCTTAAAGAAAGCGCAAAACTGGTTCAATTTACAGCTAGGATTTTCGTGACGTCTTCAAACAGGCGCTTAAGATAGGGCGGTATCAATAGTTTCTGGACCAATGGGAAGTCACGCTGGGCGGGTGTATAATCTGACTGATCGGGACGATGTCCAATCAATGAGCTTTGGTGGTCGTCACGGTTTGAGTATTTGAACGTTTCCGCCAGTCTACAGTCCTTTGTGATAATGTCGTCTGAACATGAGGATAGGTAAGATTGCGTGCTCGAATAAATTTTTTTCCCTGTTTGTGGTAATGGTGCCCGTTTACTTGAAAGGTTCAGTCAGTATCACTGATTTCACATGATTTGTTTGAGAATATTGAATATTTGTCTTTCATCAGCGATTCAAAAGCTAGCATTATCAGCCGGTTTGGCACGTTCGTTCTCTCTGTTCCCGCCTCGTTAAAATGTTTTAGAAAAGCGTGTGTTCACCAGGTAACGTTAGTGTAAGTACAAGTCATTTTATTTTTGTGTTATATCCGTGAAGTTCGTTGGAAAGTCTTTTTAAAAGGGTTTTGTAACCGTCTATTCGATGTTCCGTTAGAATGCCGGCTCTTGTGACGCAACGTGTCTCACGCGCTCGTTCAGTTTCTCGTGTGACCTACGCGTCCATGCGGCACATGGTCGCTCCCTTCTACCCGTTTTAAACGGATTACCTGCATTTTTAAGATTTATTGTAATGTGCTTTACGTAAAAACTCAGGGTCTGGTGCCATGTAATATTAAATCTGTGTTTTGTTTGTAGATTTGTTTGTAGGCCTAAAAATGAGAAAATATGTAGGGCACATGGCCTTGGGCGAGACAATAGGGTGGTCTGGCAGTGTAGGCCCAAGGCCTATCCTCAGATAGCTGTCCTCTTTTAAAAAGTAAAATTGTCTATATAAATTAGACACCACTTTTTTTTTTTAAGAAAAAGAAACCGTGCCGTCGGTGAAAATATTGCTAGTGTACTTTGTCAAGAAATAAATGTCGTCATGTATTGGTATAATACGGGGTTGACGCACAAGTTTATTTTATATCGCATTTTATAATAACCTCCTTTTAAATGATTGAGTTGTTACCGACACGTTAATGTGATTTAGTCGAGCCACGTTGGTAATGGCGCTGAGCGAAAATGGCCGCCTCTTGGTCATTTTACGAGGTTACGATATCAGTGTCTTTAAAAAATAAAACTAACGCGGTTTTATGAGTATTGCAAATAATTAAGATGAAAATCGTCATCGAAACCGGTGTGAAACCCAAAATAAAACGTTGGACAGAATGATAGCCTCGGTAACCGTTCACTTTCATTTTATGGAAAATGGTAACGTTACAATGAAAGTGAACTGTGACCGAGGCTATCATTCCCCTTTTGTGTAACATAGACTAAGTCGTGTGTTTAAGTAAGTTTTCGTAAGATTTTTTTTTTTTTTTTGCCTGAAACTTCTCTTAAAGAAGGTCGTTTAGACATTTTAACAATAGATTAATACATGTAAGTTAAGTTATGGGATGTCTGGCTGTAGGTAATCCCCCTATGCTATGGGACTGGGTAACTCAAATATTGGTTTAGAATCCACTCAATATGTTTAGTCTTACGTTTGCCCCCTTGGAGGGGTTTTTTTTTTGCCTCACAACTTAATGTGAAATGAATTTTACATAAAAGCTATACTAATTACAACCTCTTGTTTCAGACCCAGAGACAATGGCCCTGAGGGGATGGAGCCAGATGGTGTCATTGAGGTTGGTGACTCTTAAAAGCCATTTCACCTATAGTTTTAAGCACATTTGATTTTTTTTTTTCTTTAATTATAAACTGGTAAGAACTGATTCAGGTTTATTGTTGCAACTTGTGGAGTTTCTGTTTTATTCCTTTGAGGAAAGTGTAGCAGACTTTTCCAAAAAAAAAAAAAGTGTGGCAAACCCTTCAGTTTTATAAGCATGTCCCCTATCACTGGGCAAGGCTGTCTGTCAATGGCACAGTCTTATATCTGTTAGTGGCAGAGCAAATCAGGGCCATATACATCCCAGTCAGCTCAAGACAGTAGGTGCGTTTCCATTACAGATATGCGCAAAACTTTGGTGATATTTTATAAACGTCGATTAAAAAAGTATTGCGAAATGAAGGCGTTTCCATTAACCAATGTCATGCGACTAAAACGTAACCTTTTGCCTCGCAATAAGTCATGGCAACGGATTTTGATGGATTTTGGCTATATTTATTCAAAGGAGGCGTATGCGTGTATCTTTACAGAAGCAGCACAGAGAGCCGCTTCAGAAACGTGCGTGGCGCGGCTGGATTCTGGAATAAACGCAAGCATTGTGGCCACAATCAGCTTCAGTGGCCGTATCAGAGGCACATTGCACCGCAGACGTGTGCAGTGTAAATTGTCTACTAAGCATTAATGGTAGGGAAAGCCCCTTATACTGGAGAGTGGCCATGTATGATGTGTTTCTCGGAGGTTATAGTACATTGACGAATGATCATATGACTTCTTACATAGGCCATGTGACCTGTAAATGCGAAAGCTGTTTTCCATTGCAGTTTTGCGAATTCCTTTTTCACATTGCCTAAACCACCATGCGAGCGTAAAAACTTTTGCGATATATGGGCGTTTTTGTGAAATTTATGCGTTTCCATTAGGCATATTTTCAATTCGCAATTTCAGTTTGCGCAATTTGAAGGGTAATGGAAACGTGCCTAGTGAGAAAATACTTTTTCATGGTATGGGCACAGATACTTGTCAACACTTGTTTAGTTTGGAGATTTTTCCCCCTTAAATTATATTTGAATATACATGTATGTATGTGTGTGTGTGTGTATATATTTTTGTTTAACACATTTTTATTTTTTTTTACAGAGCAACTGGAAGGAGATTGTTGATAGTTTTGATGATATGAGCCTGCGAGAGGCTCTTCTCAGAGGAATCTATGCTTATGGTTTTGAGAAACCTTCCGCCATTCAGCAGAGGGCAATTCTCCCTTGTATCAAGGGTATGTAAAACGTAATTGGTCTGTCTGCGTTTGTCACTTAATTCTGTAATATGAGAAGTTAATTCACACCCTTATTAATTGGGCAAGGCTGTGTCTGTTGGTGACACTGACCTATATCTAGTAAGGGCAAATGAAAAAAAGCCTATATTCATCCCAGTCAACTCAGTTCAGTGAGGCATAGACTGTTTCATGGTATGGGCACAAGCTGCCTTGGTACTGTAACCGTGAAACTACATGTGATTGAATGGGCATTTGTTAATATTCAGCTTTTTTTTTGTCTGTAGGGTATGATGTCATCGCACAGGCTCAGTCTGGCACAGGAAAGACAGCCACCTTTGCTATCTCCATCCTGCAGCATATTGATTTGGAGATGAAGGCTACACAAGCTATGGTGCTGGCTCCTACCAGAGAGCTCGCCCAACAGGTGAGAACCGTTACTCATTCAGGTTTGTTATAGCACTACTAGCTCTGCCTTTTTGTTGGAGGTTTTGGGAGACACGGAAGACAGTGTGACAAGAGTTTAAGCATGCCCCCTATCACTAGGCAAGGCTGTGTCTGTCAATAACACAAAGTCTTATCTGTTAGGAGCAGAGAAAATAAAGGCAATATTCGTCCCAGTCAGCTCAACACAGTGAGAAAAGACTGTTTCATGGTATGGGCACAGATACTTGTCAGAAATCTCTTAAGATGCTTTTGCAGTGACTTGAGCACAGGTGGTTTTTCAGATCAAGTTAAAGTTAAATGGAGTTGATCTTTTAGCTATTGCTAAAATGTTTTTGTCTTCCTCAGATTCAGAAGGTGGTGCTGGCTCTTGGAGACTACATGGGGGCAACCTGCCATGCCTGCATTGGTGGCACCAATGTCCGTAATGATGTTCAGAAGCTCCAGGCTGATGTGCCCCACATAGTGGTTGGAACTCCTGGCCGTGTGTTTGACATGCTCAACCGCAGATATCTTTGTAAGTGCGGACGACAATCGCTTGTTTCAGTGGACTGTCTTATTTGAGACTTGTACTAGAATTCTTAACTACCTGTTCTCTTGTTGTTAAATTATAAGTTTAATAACCTTCTGTATGCCAATGGCTTGGAAATGACTGTCTTTGTTTGATTTTTTTTTTTTTTTTTCAGCTCCCAAATATATAAAGATGTTTGCGCTGGATGAGGCAGATGAAATGTTAAGCCGTGGTTTCAAGGACCAGATCTATGAGATCTTTCAGAAGTTGGCCACAGATACTCAGGTAAATTTTATTTATTTTATTTATTTTTTTTTTCTTGGAGCCCACACCAAAGTCCCTCTCCTACCAGCTTTGTGTGCTGTGATGGGAATCATAATCTTTGGTAGAGGAATGTAACTGCTCTCCACTTTGATTAGGCTCATAGGTCCCTCTTCATGACTATTAAGCAGCTTACATTTTATATCCTAAATAGTTTTATTTGCTGTACGTTTAAGAGGTTTGTGTTGGTCAAATCTACTCCAGTCAGCTAAGATGATCATAATGACTGTAAATTTACCTTTTCCTGTTATAGTCATCTTCAGGTTGTGGTTGGTGTTGACTCATTTTGTAAGCTATAACTTGTGCATGTTTTTCTTTTCCCAGGTGATTCTTTTGTCTGCCACCATGCCTCAGGAGGTGCTGGAGGTGACCACAAAATTCATGAGAGATCCTATTCGTATCCTAGTTAAAAAGGAAGAGCTGACCCTGGAGGGTATCCGGCAGTTCTACATCAATGTTGAGAAAGAGGTGAGTGGAGAGCTTAGCGTTGAGAAATGAATATTTGTATCTCAAAGCTGTCCAATTTGTTGTTGTCCAAAGTTGCAGTCATTTGTTACTGAAGTAGTAATGCTGTTTTGTGATGATCCCCATGCGTGTCAACTGATCCCAGACTTCCTGGAGTGCTCCTGTCTGATAAGCGTTTTGCTTAGCTGTGCATTTGAGCCTGTAGGACTCTGGGAACATGATCTTAACTTTAGTATGAAAACAGCACCACCTAGTGGCAGAGCTGAGTTTTTTTTTCTCTCCCTCTCTTTGCTAAGATCTCTCTGTCTTTCAGGAGTGGAAGTTGGACACATTGTGTGATCTTTACGAAACCCTGACCATCACACAGGCTGTAATTTTCATCAACACCCGACGAAAGGTGGACTGGTTGACTGAGAAAATGCATGCAAGAGACTTCACTGTTTCTGCACTGGTGAGTGACAGTCACATGATGTGACGTTTTGCTAATGTATATGTACATGTTTTATGAACTATGCGCACTGTCTTCATAGCACGGTGACATGGAGCAAAAGGAGAGGGACGTCATCATGAAAGAGTTCCGCTCTGGCTCCAGCAGAGTCCTCATCACTACTGACCTGCTGGTAATCTACCTTTCACCTTCACCCACAGTTCTGAGATGTCACACCAAGGATACCTCTTCCACCAGCATTCTGTGCTGTGATGGGTATCAAGGTCTTTGGGAGACTATTCTAACTGCTCTCCACCGTGCTGGGGCCGCCAAGTCCCTTAACACGACTATAAAGCAGTTGACATTCACATGCAAAATCTGTGCTTTTAAATATCTTTAGATTGTTAGTTGACTGCTTTTGTTTTTGAACCTGTAAGTGGACTAAAGTGTCTTAAATACTTTCAGGCAAGAGGCATTGATGTGCAGCAGGTTTCCCTGGTTATCAACTATGACCTTCCAACCAACAGGGAAAACTACATCCACCGGTAAGTCGACGAAGCTCTTTCTGTGCTTTTTGTCTGATTTGTGCGATTCTGGCTGTTGTGTAATAAGTGCTTTATTTGTATAGAATTGGACGTGGTGGCCGTTTTGGCAGAAAGGGCGTCGCTATCAACATGGTCACTGAAGATGACAAGCGTACACTCCGAGACATCGAGACCTTCTACAATACAACCGTGGAGGAAATGCCCATGAACGTTGCTGATCTTATCTAAGACCCCAGCCCTTTTTTTTTTTTTTTTTTTCTTTTCTTTTCTTTTTTCTTCCCTGTCTATCTCTCCTCCTTTCCCTCTTTAGTCTCATTCCAACCCACATCCCTTTTCGTGCAACTCCCTCACAAATCAAGTACTGTTAATTCTGAGGGTGTGCTTTTTCATAAATCCAGTATGTCTGCCACATCACTCAATTATTCGGAATGAATACTCAATATTCTTAAGGCTCATTTAATCTTGCCCTTTTTTGAGTGGTGCCATCTACTGATCAAGAGGAGGCATTGCAGGGCTCATTTGCATGCTAGGTGTAAAAGTTAATGCACTGACTGGCATATGGATTGAAGACATGCCCTGCTTTTCTTGATCGTGTTGGTTTAACCATTTTTGAGATGTGACTTTACATTGGATTATTTTTTTGGGTTAAAACAGGGCAAAGGATGTAAAACAGAATTATTCATGTGTTTTATATGGGGGACTTGGACTCTTATTCCAAATCTTCACCACTGCTATCTTCCTTTTACAGAAGCATCTGAGTGCTGTAAATTCTGCTTAAGGAAAAGAGGAAGCTGGATTGTGAGCAAACCAGATTGTAAAGTTTCAAAAAGTGTTCAAGTCATTTTCTCCTGGTCCAATTGTTCGGTTACATCTCTTGTGTTGTCCTGTGTGCGTGGTTGTAGCTTTTTGATTTTTGTAAATAGGCTTTACTTTGGCGGGATGGGTGGCTCAAGGCATTAGAAATTAATTTGGCATGATTGGTATGGCTGGTTAACAACCCACCATTGTATTGCCTCAGATTTTCTCTGCATCAAAGTCCTATCGAGGAGTGTTGCTCCTACAACCTACCTCACCAAACTGTGTTGTATGGGTCTAAATATGTAAAGGACCAAACTGCAGTAGTAGAGTATATAGAGATCATTGTCTTCGTATTGTTCAAAAAATGCCTCTTTTGTTGGGTGGATGTGGGGTTAACATTGGTCAGTGCTATTTTTTTAAACAAATTTATTACAAATGTGATAATTATTAACCTTTTTGAGACAGAAGCCATGTATTAAATCTTTTCTACATTGGACTCTGTATAGTATTTATTTTAATGGTCTGAAATAAAGGTATTTCCCATTTTTAACATGCTAAGCTGACTCTTACTCGTTCATTGGGTTTAATTTACTGCAAGACTGGTTTCATCTTGCAATACGAGTATGAGCTCTCCAAGCATGTGTTTGTGGTTCCCGTCATGGTTGAACTTTTTTTTTTTTTTTTCCCTTAATGTTAAAATACTTTTTGCCATTTTTGTTCCTTTATCAACATTTCAATCACTGTCTTTCATCATTCAAATGGTGTTTGATCAGATGTGGGTTATATGGTAGACATGATAAATGTTCAGTAACCGCTGAACAAGTCTTATCAATGTTGAGGATGATGGGAATTAAAATTAGATCAGTTGCTCACCTGTGGATCCTCTGCAGTGAATAGTAGCCTCGAAATGAGTCAAAGCAGCTGATTTAAAAACATCACAAATCCACAATTACTGTCTTGTGAAGTGAAATGTGTTGAAGAAACTAATGTTGAATAAATGTTCAGAAAACCTTCATATTGGGGTCAGCTATGCCTTTACGTAGTTCTAACATAAACTTGTGATGCATGTTTGTCAGTGATAAATTCATAAAAGATTTGTCATGGTACTAATAAACTGAGTGTTTCAAATATACAATAACCAGGTTTATATATTAATTAATTAATTCAATTACATTTAACTAATTTAATCTTGCTTGCTCCACAGCCAGCCACATTTTAACAAATATTTTCACAAATATTTGTGGTGATGGCTAGGGAATTTGTATAAATATATTTGAAAATAAGATTATGTAAATACATTCAAACATATGCAAATACTTAATAATAAACTGCTGTGATTAATTTGTCTTTTCTGTGTAGTTTAAAAGATAAGATTTTTTTTGGATACATGGATGACACTTGGGAAACCGTGCCAACTGATCACAACTAGTGACAGAATGACCACCTTGTGTTATGTTATATTAACAGATGTATTTGCACTTTGTTCAGTAAGTAGGCTAAATGCTACGTCATTATATCATTATGCTAAATCCGGTGCCCATTTTACTGTGAAGCGCTCCTGAGAGAAGCCCCTCTGGAACCAAGAGCCAAGAGATGGTCAGTTCTAAGCGCGTCCACAGGAGGGCAGATCTGTACACCATCTGTATCCACAGGAGAGAAAGCAGCTTTCAGCTGTGCCACAAACCCAGGACGCATACCAATCAGACTGGACCTGTGGTTCCAGCACATGAGGATGTATTAGGAAATGTTCTATTCAAACATATGCGAGCCAATAGTTATCCAAACTCTCAGAAGGCCTGTGTCATTACAATTCCACGGCTGCAACTTTTGATCACTTCAGCCTGATCTCTCCACCAACATCCCCTGACATAATGCGTGGGCCCTCATTCACCTGTCCATCACGCAAACACTATGTTAATTCCCGCATCGTGTACCCCTGTCCCACATCCCCTTCATTCAATTCTTTGTACCAATCCCCTCTCTTTCCTGCCCTTTTATACCCACGGTCTTCTTTTCCGACATTCTTTCTCCAATCACAGCCCTCCGTCGGAGGCATAACAACCTCTCCGAGCCCGAGGGCTATACACCTTTTGAGAAATATTTTGATTATGTGTGCTCAGTGTAGGTGGCCCGCCGAACACTTTCACTGTCTGCATGGTAACCCCCCACCCCCCCTCCCACCCCCTGCTGGGCGCATGA